AGATTTTGTTACAAAAGAGTTCATGTGTTACGTTTAAAAAATTTTAAGAATGCAATGGTACAGTTATATTTCCAAAGTGATATTGACGATATGAACAGCAACAAACACAAAAGCATAATTACACATATGAAGAAATATGTAGACATATAATTTTTTTTACAGGGATGTGTTGTCTGACCTTTCTGCCTTGTTCATTGACGTACAGGACTTGTATAAATTGCAACAGTTTGGCATCATCCTTTGAGATGTTGAAAGGTATGGCTTGACTAAAAGCAAGGTGAAGCAATTTCTCATTAAATTTTCCATCCAAAAACTCCAAACTGAACACATGAGGTTATTATGGAGAAATAATTACATGGAAATTTGATTTAAAAGATAGAATAAATAGATCTGATTTTATTCCAGATATTACTTGGGTGCCATCACAGGAGTGTTCTCTATGTGGGGGAAAGCTGATTTAATGAGAAGAGGTGTTCTTTGTGTGGCGGAAAGCTGATTTAACGAGGAGAGGAGCGTAGTGTTGAATCAAAAGAGAAACTCGGATGAGTTTGGAAAAGAAACAGATGCAGGTTCACAATCAGCTAAAAAAAAAAAAAAGAGCCAAAATGGGGTCTGTTTATAGTTGAAGTATCAGTCTATAAAAGTGTTTACAAGTCATTAAGGTTCATTTTTAATGCTAGCAGCAATGAAAGGTGTACTTTCTGATTGAAACTTACTGAAGTTTCCTCAAGCAAACCAAAAGATATGTACTAATCTTGATTATATTCACTAGATGTGAATGTAGCATTTTAAATTACAATACATACTGGAGATAGTAAGGCTTAACTGTATAAATATATATATACAGATAGATTTACATATTATTAAGCAAGATGTAATTGTAGCTTAAATTTAAGGATTTCCATCCCTAATGGGACCAAATTCTCTGCTCTTAATTGTCCGTCAAGTACACAGTACTCTGATGTTATATTAAAGCATTTTATAGTGGAAAAGATTTGTCTGCGAGAAATTTTCAAAAAGTTCATTAATTAAGCAGTAGTTAATTGACAAAAACTGCATTGAAGTCTATGGGGAAAAGCGTTTTTTCAAAATAAAAATTCAAATAATTTGAATATCAATAAATCCTGTGGTGGAAAGATGCATTGAAATATTATAAATAGAATGATAATTGAAAATTTTTTTACCAGCTAAATTTTTTTTAATTGTTTTTTTTTTATTATTAATTAAAAATGGGGAGATAACTCTTACCAAAATTCAAGGTCATGAATTAGGACACATCCTACTAAACATACTTATAGTAATAAGTGGGAAGTAATGTCTAAATAAACTGAGTATTCAATGCCTACATATCTGTTATGTCTTCAATTTCATAGAATTTCTTCCTATTAGGGATTGAAGACCTTAAGTGTTAATGTCTTGTAATTTGCATTTATTTTAATGGGAAGAAATTGATTTTTAAGCAAATTAGTATAGATTAGATTTAATTTATAGCATTTTTTATGTATATGTGTATGGTACTGTAAATGTATTATATTTAGTGTTTACAATATTTGGTGGAAATTAATAGAGAAAGTTAGCGCAGATTTGATTTAGCGCATTTCTTAAAGTTCTTATGTATATTTATTGAGTTGGCAGAAGTTTTTTTTTCACCGAAAGCGCGCTAAAAAGAATACAAACCCAAATGTAATATGTTTACAGTATTTTCACATATTACCTGATATGGCGGAAGCTGCTTTCCACCAAGTTGCAGAATAGAAAACTGTATACAGAGGAATATTTTCACTGTGTTATTTTTGCCCTTTCGCACTTGCAAACAATCTTGTCCCATTTTAAATTCACACTGTCACAGTTCAGCGTAAGAAATCATACAGCTTTTTCTGAATTTGCTTCGTTTTAATTTGTGAAAGGGAGGAAAATAAAACGGGGGCAAAAATTTTCCTGTATACAGTACACTACTACTTGTAATATACTTACAGTATCTTTTAGCAAAATACAGGTTTCCTTGTTTCTTTTTATATTTTCCATATTTTCTTAATGTTTCCTTTTGTGTGAAAGGAAACAAATTAAAACTGGTTCACCATACATCATCTTATTTTGATAGCATTATTTAATTGATTTACAGTGCAAATAATTACACTTGCAAAACATTTTTGATGGTATAACGCAAGGTTAGAATTTAAAGGTTGTAACGAATTAATTACATGGAAGTGATAAATCAATGATTTTTCTTTTGTCCATGTTAAATGTGGTTCACTTTGATTAATATTTACATTTAATTAAGTGTCAGCATTGGGCAATGCAGACATACTGCAATGAGTAACTGTCCATACTGAAGATCTGCTAGTCTGTCAGTCCACCAAGTTTCTGTTCATTTCTCCACAGAGGTTGCACATACTGAAATGAAATTTGGTATACAGATTTATAAGCTGAATATTTAGGTCAAGTTCTGTTTTAGGTACGATGTAGTCCAGCATGCTAGAGGTTCACGGCGAGATACTTTTGATTTGGCGCTGCGTAACCTCTAGCATCCATTGTAAAAATTCTCGCCGCTGAAACCCCAAATGGAAATAAATTATTTTCTTAAAAAATTATATATTATTTATTATTATAGGGTATACTAACGAATAACATGAAACAATAAAATACTCACAATTTACGATAAAACTTAAGCATAAAACACTGTTAATCTCTCATATTAACAATAAATCCATGACTTTTAAAATCGAAGAAGAAATTATAACAAGTCGTCTGTTTAAAATTTGGGAATAGAATGCAGAAAATCTGACAAAACGAAACTAGTTTAATGCAATGAAAATTTTGTTTTCTGACTAGCAATCTGCAAAATTAATGTGAAGTCAAATCTAAAGTACTTCTGTTGACAAATTGGAATAATGACAATTTTCAGTAATGAACAATAATGCACACTTAATAAAATGGATTTTATGATTTTTTGTGACTTTAATACCCCATGCAAAGACGTAGGTACCTGAAAATTGTTCACAGTTTATTTCATGCATAATATGTTCCGCCCAAAATTTCAGGCGGAACGAGCTCGTTAGAAAATGGTCTTCGGGTGCAAGAGTCCGAGGTATATAAGGAGCGTAGGGACATTAATCAAGGCTTTTACTTGAAGGAGTAAGGTACGATGGAGCTTTTCATTGTTCCATGCAGTTGCGTTTGGAATTAAAACGTCTGCAAATTTTGATCCCCTGTGATATATGAAAGCTAGGCTCAAGGCGGAAGAGAGAATCCTAAGTTAGGTCTTGAGATTTATTTGACTTGTTGAGCATATTGAGAGGGAAGGGCATTTTTTGGTCTGAGAAACATTGTTTGAATATGAGGAATGTCCGTAACCCATCTAAACTTATGCTGATGTTGTAGTTTTCTGTAATCCCTTCCATAGAAGTAAACAGATTTCACCTTGTGTTTGGTGAAAAGTTGATACTTGATACACTCTTATAGTGTATGAGAGGTAGTCTAAAATTTGGCCCTGGGATAAAGAATTGTCCAGCAACAATTTTTGTAAAGATGGCCAGATTAGCAACAGACCATTGCAAAACAAATAGGGATTCAAGCTTTGGTTTTGAGGGACCAGACTTAAGGGGGATGTACGGCCACTTTTAGTGCAGTGTGAGCAAAATGTAAACATTTCTTCAAATGGCTAAAATACATTATATTTTGATCAAATGTTAAGTCTTTTTGATAAAGATACAATAAATATGCATAACCGAATGCATGATGTGCATATATAATCTATACTTTTGCAGAAAAATGCTTTTGATATGCTCCTTAGAACTGCGCAGCTACAGAATTCAGCAGAGCCTTAAAAAATCCAAAAAAATATGCAAACTGTGTATTAATGTTCTCTCTACAACCATTTGTTGAGAAAATGTCTAAATTTTGCACATTTAAATGATAATTTCAAGTTCAAAACAAGGTACCGTTGTCTTCAAAAAGAGTGTAAAAAAACCATGAAAGTAGTTCATGGATAGCAGCACGTGGTCTATTTTTAGCACAGAATCTTGTTTTCCAGACCTCTTCTTAATATGGAGGGGCATAACAATCTTTAAATGTAGAAGAGAATTACAGTTGCAAAATATTTCAAATAATATGAACACTTTTAAAAGAGGAAAGGTGTTAAAGTGTGGCTTGAAGTAATTTATTTAGTATTATTATCGAACAGTTGTTAAATAGTTTACGTATTAATATAAAAAAAATTTAAACTCTTTGATTCCAGGTAAGGAAAAATAAGCACCATCAAAGTTAAAAATTAAGAGTTTGTAAGTTTGCCACAGATAAATTATATTATCTATTAAAATTTTAATTATCACCAATAAAACACAAAGAAATTAGACACATAAAATTGATACGAATGACCTTGTTTTAGTACCTACTAGTACGAAGCGTTATCAAAAAGTTCGCGAAATATCTCTATATCTACAAAACCACAATTCAGATTAGATAGCCAAACACAAGTTCTATAAATAGCATATGCTGAAGTTTTGCTCCTTGTTTGCGATGTCACAATCTGAAAATGACGTCATTATTCAGGTACTTTTGACGAAAAATGGTTCTCTCAGTGGAACTCGTTCAACAAACGACTATAATATTTATGGCACATGTATATCTTACAAATGCCTTAGAAGTAGCGTATAAGAATTTGTTCACAGTTTATTAAATGGCTTCCTATAATTTCAATCAGTGATTGGATATCGTTTTAGTGAAGGAAGGCAGATGGTTAAATATGATACTTGTTATATATGTTGCCCGGTGAAAGCAAGTTTGAAAAGGGATGTGTTTTTTTAAAGCAATATGCTATCAAAGACCTTCAATTAAAATTTTACACTTTGAGAAATACTTGAATATTTCAACAATAATATAAATATCAAATACGTAAGATATTGTTTACTTTTTTATCACCCCTCGTATACTGTGTCAAATAAACATTCATTACAGAGGAGCAACAGTTGAAAAGGCATGAAATCATTCACAGTGGGTTAGGAGATTTAATGAATAATTTTTTTTTCTATTTGCCCATATTTTCAAAATTACAAATGTACAAAGTAAAGAGAAAAAATCACTTATAAACATCTCTAAAATGATGTTTGGTGGTCCTCCCAACTCAGGGAAAAATTATTGGGTCCGTATTTATGGGTGAGAAAAAAGAATTCCTTAAAATTTAAACAGAATTGTTGACGGAAGAAAAAGAAAAAAAATATCGTGTAATGGGATGTTAAAAAAATGAGTCGGGCCATTTCTAGGCAGTAGATCGGGAGAGAGGGCAACCAAATATTTTTATAACAAGTGGTCTTATAAGGCTAGTACATGTTCCATCACATACTTAGTAATGCAATTTTTTAATCTTTGACACTGTTTTGAAAAACAAACATAGGATTTTCGGGGCGTGGGGGGGGGGGGGTTGCACTCACTTTTTTTGCAATTATAGACTAGCATATGCAATGGACCTTTCTTTGCAAACATTGTGCTCGTTTCTAAATTTCATAGAAACAACTCATTATATTTCATCAAGCTTCGTATGTTCAATGAGCGAGAGCTTAAAACGTTGTCAACATAATGAGACATGATGCGTTTTTGTGTCCAAACATGACCCCATACAATGTGTGGGTCATTGCAAACATTCTAGATATTTATGTGAGGTGCCTGAAGGAAATCCTATAACTGCCTATTTTTTCTATCTAATTTCTAAACAAAATAGACATATGTACCAACTTTTCGAATGTAAGACATGTAATTACAATTTATTTTTCATGCACTGCATATTGTTTAACATTTTCAAATTAAATGCTAAGCATCCTCCTTGCAGTGCCCCATT